TCATTTGTGTGTTTTTATAAGAGTCTCATGATTACTCTTGGCTTTTGGGTAATGATGTTGTCAAAGGAAGGTCATTTCCCAGCATTCTTGGGCCATCTTCTTTTTGACTGGTAATAATGTTCTTCTCCTTTTTGACTGGAATAGACAAATTTGATTTAATTACTTAAATAATTCTGCTGAATTACAAGAAAAATTACTATGTAAATATTGTTTGTATTTCATCACATCTGCATGACAGATTTTACCTTTAAAGATGGATGTCAGGTCAGGTTGTGATTGAGATTCATATGAAACATCAAGGTCTTGTTTTAAAATGCAAAATAGAGTGCAAAAGTATGAAATCGGTAAAGAATAAAGTAAACAGGCATGTTACGTTAACACTCTAAATTGTATAGTATTGCAAGAAAATCAAACACTTCATTCAAATTTTAGAGAGAAATTGAGTGAAATCAGCAAGGAATAGAGTAAAAGGTATGAAGTCAACACTCTAAATTGTATGAAAAAGCAAGAAAATTGGTTGGTTCGATTCATATTTAGAGTAAAATAACATATCTCCCTACTTCAATTCAACAAAAGGATGTTAGAGATTTGATGAAAGCTTCAAGAGATCAGAAAATCTAGGATTAATTTACACATGTGTAACACAACATGTTTTACATCTTAGCATTTTGTTAGGAGATAAAAAAGATCAAGGGAATCAACAAAATGTACATTCACACTTTAAAACGAACATAGATTACAGGCACATTTTCTCCAGATTTTTTTCACAAATGATTTCAAGTTCTTATGTTTTACCAGTTCTCACTAAAAAAAATCTGATATAAATTGATCAATGCAAAATATACAAGTATTAGTTTTTCAGAATTTCCTGAATCCTAAATGGGTGAAAAAAGATATAATGGTAATATCAATGAATCCAATATGGTAATATCAATCAATTCAATGCAATAGTACTATCTTTGAATCCAATGGTAATATCAGTGAATCCATTGATCTAGTGAATCGATATTTTAACAGAATCTCAGAAATTGGAAAAAGTAATGGTAATATCAATGAATCCAATGGTAATAACAATTAATCCAATGGTAATATCAATTAATTCGGTAATACCTTTTATTTCAATCGTACTATCATCCACTAATTCAATTGTGATATCAATGAATCAGATTATAATATCAATGAATCAAATGGTAATTTCAATGAATCAAATGGTTATAACAATGGAAGTTTTTGGAAGAAAAAAACTTCTCTGGGATTTACCTTACTCAGTACACATTTCTTCAAGCCTCTTTCAGTGAGGCTTATTTTTGTGGAATTCTTGAAAGCAATCAGTGTAACTACTTTCCAAAATAGAAGCCATTAGAATTAGTTGTAACATATTTTACCTAATTCAAAACATTTGTTTTTGATGGGTTTATTAGCCTGTTCTCCTGTTATCAGGAATATAGGTTAGATTTGATATCCATGTTGCATTATGGGATATTATTTTTCATTCTGGAATATATGTTGCATTCTGGGATATTATTTTGCATTCTGGGATAGGCATTGCATTCTGGGATGGCAGATAGACTTACCAGTAAATAGCTAAACTCCATATTTATGAATCCTAAGAATTGCAAAACATATGCTAACAACATTTCATTGTATTTCTGGATGTAATTTGTATAGTGGTGTTTTTGCATAAGTGTAATTTAGGATTGTGCCTATTTTCGTGGCTGCTTCGTCTTTTTTCTGAGTTTGGATAAAAAATCTGGCAGTTATATCATTTTTTACAAATAAAAAACATTAAACTCATTAAAAGAAACACTAGGTTAATTAATGTGATTTATAATAAAAACCTGTAAAGTGGAGCAATGCTATTAGTAGAATACCTTGTTGGAGTCATTAACTTAGTGTAAGCTTAACTTCTACTAGTGGAACACCTCTATAAGTAGAACACTTCAAAGTCCTGGATCCATTGACCTCATGTAAAATGAACCTCTGTAAATAGAACACTTCCATAATTAGAACACTTTAAAGTCATACCTAATGTTAAATGACTCTTTTGAAATGGTGAACACTTTCATGTACCAAAAGTTTTCAACTTGTACAGATTTTACTGGTTTTACTGTATAATCCCAATGGTTTTACATCCTTAGACTTTTCAAGGTACTCAAAGTTGAAAAGCTGTAATTCTGATCGATTAACTGCCCTATAAAGATATTATTAAATTTAAAAAGTGCATTTTAATGACTTCTTTGGTATCTGAATCTCTGACAGCCTAAGAGATGAAAAATCAAACAATTCTCGTTACCTCATCATTTTGAGGTTAGGCTTTAAGAATTTCTTTTGATTGAAAATATGATATTTTGTTTATTTTGTGGTTTAAAGATCTGCAGGAAGTGACTCTTACAACGAATCCCCCAAACTAGATTATCTCTTGAACTTTTTTGAGCATGTTTACTTTTTGTTATTTCTCTTTAAGATTTGAATGAAGTGTCTGATTTTTGCATTTCATATAACTTAGAGTGTTGACTACATGCCTGTTTACTTTATTCCTTGCTAATTCCACTCTTTCTCACTCTATTTTGCATTTAAAAACATGCCTGTCATGACATTTTCTCTTTACTCATGTTTATTTTATGTTTTTTCTCTCTAAAACTCAAATAAACTGCCTGATTTTTTAGCATTTCTATACAATTTAGAGTATCAAATACATGCCTGTTTACTTCATTCCTTGCTAATTCCACTCTTTTCCACTTTATTTTGCATTTTAAAACATCACGCCATGATGCTATTTTCACATGTCATTTCGCCTGTCAACGATACTTTCATAACTCTTCAGCTGTCATTAATATTATTTATCTTGTAATGCAACACCAAAAACGTAAGTTTATCAATATTGATTTTGTGTTTCGATAATATTTTGAAAACAATGCCAAGAAATTTCTGACATGTAAATATGTCATAATTTTTGAAGCTGTTCAAGTTTAAGACGCTAAAGAGACATGATGCAGTTGGTAAGATTTTCGTGTTCTTGATTCTAAAAAAAGATTAAAACCAGGAACTTGAATTAAAGGAATCTCCCTTTCTTTTATCTTACATCGATGTGAAAAAACGTTGTTATTTGAGTTAATTTAAAATAGCAATTTCCAGGTTTCAGTGAGTATAAGTAGAACACTTCAAAGTCCTGGATCCATTGACCTCATGTAAAATGAACCTCTGTAAATAGAACACTTCCATAATTAGAACACTTTAAAGTCATACCTAATGTTAAATGACTCTTTTGAAATGGTGAACACTTTCATGTACCAAAAGTTTTCAACTTGTACAGATTTTACTGGTTTTACTGTATAATCCCAATGGTTTTACATCCTTAGACTTTTCAAGGTACTCAAAGTTGAAAAGCTGTAATTCTGATCGATTAACTGCCCTATAAAGATATTATTAAATTTAAAAAGTGCATTTTAATGACTTCTTTGGTATCTGAATCTCTGACAGCCTAAGAGATGAAAAATCAAACAATTCTCGTTACCTCATCATTTTGAGGTTAGGCTTTAAGAATTTCTTTTGATTGAAAATATGATATTTTGTTTATTTTGTGGTTTAAAGATCTGCAGGAAGTGACTCTTACAACGAATCCCCCAAACTAGATTATCTCTTGAACTTTTTTGAGCATGTTTACTTTTTGTTATTTCTCTTTAAGATTTGAATGAAGTGTCTGATTTTTGCATTTCATATAACTTAGAGTGTTGACTACATGCCTGTTTACTTTATTCCTTGCTAATTCCACTCTTTCTCACTCTATTTTGCATTTAAAAACATGCCTGTCATGACATTTTCTCTTTACTCATGTTTATTTTATGTTTTTTCTCTCTAAAACTCAAATAAACTGCCTGATTTTTTAGCATTTCTATACAATTTAGAGTATCAAATACATGCCTGTTTACTTCATTCCTTGCTAATTCCACTCTTTTCCACTTTATTTTGCATTTTAAAACATCACGCCATGATGCTATTTTCACATGTCATTTCGCCTGTCAACGATACTTTCATAACTCTTCAGCTGTCATTAATATTATTTATCTTGTAATGCAACACCAAAAACGTAAGTTTATCAATATTGATTTTGTGTTTCGATAATATTTTGAAAACAATGCCAAGAAATTTCTGACATGTAAATATGTCATAATTTTTGAAGCTGTTCAAGTTTAAGACGCTAAAGAGACATGATGCAGTTGGTAAGATTTTCGTGTTCTTGATTCTAAAAAAAGATTAAAACCAGGAACTTGAATTAAAGGAATCTCCCTTTCTTTTATCTTACATCGATGTGAAAAAACGTTGTTATTTGAGTTAATTTAAAATAGCAATTTCCAGGTTTCAGTGAGTTTTGGAGAATGACAAGTTGAAATCATAAAGCTTAGAAATTATTTGTAAGGCAAGAAGCGTATCAAAGTTACCTAAACTTTCAAACTTCTGGATATTTTAAGATGTGAGTTGAAATTGAGATGCTCGCTTTTATCATTTACAAGATTTTGGACTGCAGGTCGCTTGAAATATAGTATGAATCTATCAACTATGTTGAACAGGAGGAAATCTATTAGAGCATAAGGCAGTTAAACCTACGCAAATCGAACACCTGCGCAAATCGAACACCAGACAAAAGTGTGCTGTTTTTAATAGACTCAGCTCAATTAGAGGCAGATTTACACGTAAACCAATGGAATTTTTAGCAGAAAAGTCAGTAAGTTACAAAGGTGTATATTTTAGGATCTGTTTGTTTTATAAAGGTTTTCAATTTTGATGGTTTTACTGGATTAAGGTATGATTATTCCCTCATGTCAGAAATGTTAGGATTTAATTCGTGGAATCTGTCTGTTATGTCTGTTTTTCTGGTTTGATTTTTTCTTGACTCATCATCGCATATTTGTTACGGAAAAATAAAAATACACTTATAGCATTATAATAGTGATGTCTTGCAGAGCTATTTTACCTGGGACTATATTTAATAGCGTAATGGCATGGATTATATTGTGGGTGAAGTGGCCCTTGTTGCTCTAGGACTTCAGTGGATATTAGTACATAAAGAGGGAGAAAATCCCGAAGAAATTGAGGTGAATACAATCAGGGCATTTGATTGGATTTTGAATTTATAGTGCATTTTGTAGTTGTATATGTTAATCCCAGGGTGCATCAGACGGATTTAAGATGTACTAGTTAGAATATTGAATTATGGACCAGTTACTGGTCAAATTGAATAATGGACTATTTGTCACATTATAAAGGCTGAGATGATCAACTGGTCCATAGTAAATTAGGTTAAAGGTAATTGTTTAATAGATTGATGCTAATTTTAGGGTGTATCTTGCTTTCACAATTATGACTATTTCGTTAACCTGTTATTTTATCTTTATATTTTCAGTTGTATGATAGGATAAACAGCACGTCACTGAGTCCTACTCGAGCGCCCCCTAGTGATGCTGTAGATCGTGCACGAGAGGTAAGATTTTCATAAAGCCTCTGAGAACTTCGTGTTGCACAATACTCAATGAATTTTCCTGTTCATGTCACGACCAACATTTTTGTGGATGGTGTTTGGTTGTTTTTGTACAGCATTTGGTGGGTAGTCAGCATTTTGGCATCTGTGACAAATGGCAGGTGGTGACATTTTGTATGTTAATGCCATGTTTCTTATTATTGAATTTCTATACAGTTTCTAGTATTGACTTCATGCCTTTTTAGCCTTCATGATATAATATGTTCATCACTAGAAAGAGAGGAATATTTCATTATGATTAGTGAAATAGAATTACGACCAAAACATCATTTTTTAAGGTATATAACGAAGAGATAACTTCCTCGCTAATTCCTGTTTTTTCCATTTTCTATTTCAAAACATCAACGAGGAACTTTCTTCAAAACCTTAAAACTTATGGGTCGGTGAACTTTTCTTCCTGATGAACATATTTTGCAATTGAGTGTGGGAAACACACCATATTTTTTCACCCATGTTTAGATTTGCCTTTAGTCTCTCCCATTTCATGCTATTTCTCAGTAAAATTTGAATGAACTGTCTGATTTTCTTGCATTTCTATACAATTTAGAGTGTTGACTACATGCCTTTTTACTTTATTCCTTGCTAATTCCACTCTTTTTATTCTATTTTGCATTTTGAAACACCTATGGTACCTTCTAGTTTATCTCTTGACATAAATGAATTTTGACAATGTATCTGTGGAACAGACAGCATAAGGTAAATCATTGCCAGTTAAACTCATGTTGCTGCTGTGGCCAGATAACTTCTTAAAGCCTATATGTTCTTAAAGGATCAATGCTGGCAAAGGCTTGTGTTTTATCTCCAGCCAGATAACTTTTTAAAGGAAGAATATTCATAATATCTATACAAATGAGCAACTATTTTACATACTTCTTGTGACTTGGTTTAATGGCTCTAAAATTTAAAGTTTTGGTTTTTCCAAGATGATGGTAAAGTGATAAAGATCAAGTCAAGTGGAATTTATAATTTTGACACACATTTTACTCCTTTGATCGAAAAATATAAGTTTAACTCAATTAACTTACAATTGGTGGCGATGTTTCTAATACTTAGTAGTAGGTGAATATTGACTGTCACCAGATGGCGTTATTAAAAACGGGTCAAAAACCAATCTGTCGAGTGCAAAATTAAATAACTAGGTTCACCTGATATATCCGCTTGCAGTTGATCGGCCTAAACTGACACTTCTTTTGTCGATATATCAAAATGAGTGATTTTTTCAAGCTCTGGACTCTTAGTATTTCAACAAAAGCTATGGTCACGGATGTTCTCAAGGGCAGGTTTGAAACACCAACAATTTATTTTAGAGTTTTTCAAAGTCTTTGATTACTTTATATACTCATTTTGACAGAAATATACAAAGTAGTATTATATGACCCCTTAACCTTGTTTGCCATGTTTTCAGAAATATGTCAACTTGGGTTGTTTAGTATGAGGCTTTAACATTATTCAACCATGATGTCAGAAATATCTGAAATATGACCCTTTAACATGTACTATGATTTTTAAAAATCTGAGAAAAGGTAGTTTCATGTGATCCTTTAACATGGATCATGTTTTCTGATCAGTCTCATCATTCAGTTAGTTAGAATCATGACGCTAATGAACTCTGGTAAGTCGTAGAAAACTGATAAATCATTGATCATGTCATTTATGGCCATCATGTTTCTAAAGTTGAAATAGAGCATAAACAAAAAATATCAGCTAGGAATAAAGTAAACACGCATCAGGGGTTTCACTAGAGTTTCTCACAACAGGCTAAATAAATGAAAACAACAGGTAACATTAATGGAAATCATAATTAACATGGAAAAGTTGAAAAATCCCTAAAAACAACAGGCAATTTTGTGAAAACAACCAATGAAAATCGCCTGTTGCCTGCTGCTAATGAAATCCCTGTCCATGTAGTAAACACTCATAATAGTATATAAATGCATGAAAATTAGGCAGTTTATTCAGATTTTAGAGAGAAATCGAATAAATGTTTTTGTTGATATTTTCAGGTTCTTGAAAATTTAGAACATGTACCTGACCAATTAGCAGAAGAGGCAGATGAGCTGCGAGAAATATTACTGCAACCACATTTTATGGTAAGATGAATTATTTTAGCTTGGGAGGGTGAGGGGAGGGGGCTGAGGGGGTATCTGAAGCCACATTAAAAATGAGGTTGGGCTATTTAAAAACTGAACTCCCCCCCCCCCCCCCCCCCCCCTTCATCTCCTTATCATAGCTTTTGCCATTTAAATTCATTTTGCATTTTCAGGGTTTCAGATTTTCATTATCGTTTATTTCATGATATCAGGTATGTCATAATACACAAATATGGTGTCAGGAATATCATAATAACCAAATATGATTTGCATTTTTACCATATTATATCAGTTGTTGTATACAATCTCGAAACAGCATGCAAGTCTGTTTTTAGATTGCACAGGTTCTAAACTACAGTCTTGATTTTGGAAAACAATATTTTTCCAGCTTGTTGTCAGGAATTGTGTATTAACAAGAATTTTAATTGCAGGTGCTTTCATCAGTTATGCATGTGCTAGCACTTTAATTTGTATGTGCTGATTTGATCAAATTGTCATTAGATGGTTAGTAGTACATTATGGTATTATGTAGTTGTTCTTGTATTTTAAGATTGAACATATGTGTGCTATATTCTTGTTTGTCAACTATATTTTCACTGCTTTCATCAATCAATTTTTAAAGATTTTTATGTCACCACCTCAAGTGGTGACATATTATGGTCTATTATGGTCTTTTTGTGGATAATATTCAGCATTCGGCGATTAGTGGTCAGCGGTCAGCCTCTGTAACAAATGACAGGTGGTGACATTTTGCATTTTAATGCCTCGTTTAGTTTATTGTAATTACACCAACATTTTTCATTTGAAAAATCTTGGAAAATAAAAAAATCAAGAAAAAATATGTAAATTACAATTCATCTTGTAGAAAATTGTAACAAGGATTCACAAATGTCATCAGATTAAGAATATGTCATAATAGTTACATACTGTATCCATGGTTACATTCAAATCTCTTAAAATGAGACTTCAGTGAGATTTCAAAGCTATATGTACTTATCAATAGGTCGAGAAAACACACATTCTCCATGAACGGAAGAAATTGGGGGAAGTTACACATGTGGTGAGCTGGTCACAATGACTTTATTTACTTCCAGATGAGTAAACTATATCTGTAAAAAATCTGTTTAGGACTATATTTATGTACCTGTTGTGAAATCTATTAATTAGGTTTTGATTAAAATCGAACTTCTGTCAAAACAAAAGCTGATTGCCTTTCTTAAGATATAGGAGTAGTCACTGGATATCTAGAAATTGCATAATACAAAATATATGAGCTGTATGGAATATTTGAACCTTTTAATGAAGTATTGTATATTGGAGGCCATTCACTTAAATGGTAGAGATTTCATGTAGATATGTTCTTTAAGATTCATAAAGATGGCAGGCACTTGTTAATGATATAACTACTGAAATAGAGTAAAGTCTGAAGTTCATTTTTAGAGAAGTTAATATACACTTTTGAAAAGTGCCACGGCACATTATATAATATATTTGCCCCCAACAATTATTGTGTTTCTGATATTGTTGAGATCTGTGTTATTTTCAGAAAATTATTTATTCTGTAGTATTAGTATTTTGCTAAGGTTAGATGAAGCTCACTTTTAAAGAACTAAAATTAAAGTATTGAGGTTAATGGCAAGAAGCTGTATATTTGCCCCTCACTAAGTGCCAGCTTAATTCTGGAACAATATGTTTTCCCAAATATAACCCTTTAGTCGGGCTGCATTAATAAAAGGGGAGAAATCTCACAAGGGTCATTTTTTAAATCACAAAGTAGAGTGAAAAAGAGTGAAATCAGCAAGAAATAAAGTAAACAGCAGGCATGTAGTCAACACTCTAATTTGTATAGAAATGCGAGAAAATTAGACAGTTTGTTCAAATTTAAGAAAGAATTGGCATCTAATAGGCATGAGTAGGGAGTAAAAATAGACATCAGTGAAAAAAATAAATGTGATGTGGCAACCAGAAATATTTCTATTTCCCACACTCATTTGTAAAATATGTTTTTGGGAAGCAGGTTGCCTCCCACATGACTTTTTTATATTCAATAATTTCTTCTTAGGAGTCATTTTCAAACTTGAAAAGGTTGTAAAATATTATTTTAGGATGCAAGGTTCCTCTGTGATTTTCAGGCTCATTGGTTCCTTCATTTTATGTAAGGTTCTTTATTATTGGATTATCCTGACTTGAGTCTTTTGTTCAAATGACTCAATTCAAAAATATCAATCCATAAGATAAATATCATATCCTTCTGATGCCTTGGATAAAATGATTTCCTCTAAAAAGTACTCAATTTTACATTCGGTTGAGAAATATATGTTCATGCGTATTGTCAGTATGAGCGAACCCCTCACCATTTAGACCAAAAGTGAACTCCCCTGGAACTTTTTAAAAGCTGAAGCCCCCCTTGGCCAGATCTGGCCACAGGCCTGCTATTTTCAATGCCCAGATACAAACACGTTAATATACCTGAATCCTTAATGCTTTTAACTTCTTTTCGCATTTATAGATGTCACTGAGATGACTCTGAATGTTCTGCTTTGAGAGTAAATAGATAATACCTCTATCTAAGAAATACTCTCCTCATGTTTAATTAAAGGGGAATAATAGTCCAAATTTTAGGTTTTATACAGGAAATGTACAGTAAAACCTGTCTAATCCAAATGCCACTGGGCCTGGCCAAAAGTGTTCAGATTGGCAGGTGTTCACATTTTGAGGTTTAATCAGACCAAAAAAAGCCTTCACATTGAGAGGTGTTCTGAAAAGTGAGTTTGTTGAAAAACATGTAGTTGAAGTTTTCTTTTACAGAAACAAACTAAAATAAAAGTACATGCACCTCTGCCCTCAGATATCACACCATACCGCACAGTATTGTAATCTACAGCACTGTACCATTATGGATTTGCTGTGGCTCATCTCATATAAAATTCATAGGCACAACCACATTTGACAAATGTCTACATGCTATAATGGGCCATCAAATTGATTAATTGAGGCTTATAGCTTGTATAATGAGCAGAAAAACAAGGTTGACAAATGGAATGAGTTGACAAAATATAAGGGTATGATTCCAAGGATAATCCATACAGTGAAACCTGTAAAGTGAAACACCTTTGTAAGTGGAACACTTTTTAGAGTGCCATGACCCATTGACTGAATTTTAAATGAACCTTTGTAAGTGGAACACTTCTTATGTGGAACACTTTTTGACTTAATGTAAAGTGGAACACCTTCATAAGTGGAACACTTTCTAGAGTGCCATGGCCCATTGACTATATTTTAAATGAACTTCTGTAAGTGGAACACCTCTTAAGTGGAATACGTTTTGACTTCATGTAAAGTGGAACACCTTCATAAGTGGAACACTTTTAGAGTGCCATGACCCATTGACTAAATTTTAAATGAACCTCTGTAAGTGGAACACCTTTCATGTGGAACACTTTTTGACTTAATGTAAAGTGGAACACTTTCATAAGTGGACACTTTTTAGAGTGCCATGATCCATTGACTAAATTGTAAATGAACCTCTGTAAGTGGAACACCTCCCATGTTGAACACTTTTTGACTTAATGTAAAGTGGAACACCTTTGTAAGAGGAACACTTTTTAGAGTGCCATGACCCGTTGACTAAATTTGAAATGAACCTCTGTAAGTGGAACACTTCTCATGTGGAACACTTTTTGACTTAATGAATTTTAAATGAACCTCTGTAAATGGAACACCTCTTAATAGGTGGATCACTTTTTGACTTAATGTAAGTGGAACACTTTCAAGAGCCCCATGACCCATTGACTAAATTCTAAATGAACTTCTATAAGTAGAACACCTCTTAAGTGCAACACTTTTAGACTTATCAAAGGTGTTCTGTTCATAAATGTTTTATTGTTATAAAAACCAAGATCGTTTCCCTCACAATCTTTGATTAATTAATTGAAAAAAATCAAGATATCTGATAAAATATAGAAGCTGTTGAAGATTTAAGATGAGGAAAAGTCTAGGGGGTGTATAGTTTTTCAAGGATATTGCAAATCGAAGCATAATCATGAAATAAAGTCGGAACTGTTGGACATTTTAGAAATAGGCATGATATGTTTAGAGCACAATGTGTACTTTTGTATTAAAATCTGATTAAAATCGATAGTCTGATAAAGTACTCTTGAAGACTCAATAAAAATCTGGATTAATGCACTATTCTATCAGTAAATTAGTTTTTCATTGACAATTCAGAATATTTCTGCAAGTTTTATTGGAATCAATATCTTCAATTGGTTTAATGTTTATTGTGATAGCTACTGGAGTTTTATGAACCGGTGAAAAAAATCAAAACTGGACATTTTAGAATGTGAAATAACGTAAAAATTAAAAGAAATCACAAGGAAAAAAGTCAACAAGTATGTAGTCAACACTCTAAAATGTATAAAAATGCAAGAAATTTGAAGAGTTCAATCAAATTTTGAAAAGAAATTGAGTGAAATAAGCATGAGCAGACGGAAGAATTTTGCAGACGGATGAAATGTGAATGAATATTTCATTGAAAGAAAGACTCATCAGTTGTGTACTGTTGAATAAATTGCATCTAAAAGGCTTAGGAATTGACAAGTTAAAGTAGAATTTCTCAGCCTCAATCTAAAATGAATCTTCAATGAATACAGTAAAACCTATACTAGTTAACACCTCATTTCCCTGGGTAACTCCCATTTTAGAGATCACATCCTTCTAGTAGTACCTTTCTATAAGGCAAGACAAGAGAATGTAACTCTGCCCCCCCCCTCCATTTGCACCTCTCCCCTTACCCATTCGACCCCCTCCCTCATTTTATCCCCTCTTCCCATTCACAATGTCATATGGGAAAATTACAGTAAAACCTGTCATAGTGAACATCTCCATCCCCATTCACCCTTCCCTTCCCATTCTCAATCAATATGATGAAATCTCGGAATATATAGGAAAGACCAGATGCGACATGCAATATAAAATTCAGTGAAATTATCTTGTTTTAC